TTTTGGAACTTTCGACAGGTTAGAAAAATTGACAAAGAAATGCATGGGTTAGATTTGCTATCTTTTCTTAAATCCCATCAAGGCATTAGGATGATTTCCCCCCATTTCTTAATGGTATAAGATTAGGGTACTTTTTAACTTTCGAAATTCTCAAGGCATCAAGATGATTTCCCTCTATTTTTCTTGTCACGGTATCATATGAGCTTCTACGCTTTTTAAGTTATTTTAAAATTATTTTTTTTGAAAAAAATAATAAACTAATTTTTTTTAAAAACACTCTACACTTAATAATATAAGATTAAGATTAGAGTTTTTTTAATTTATTTTACAGATTATATCTTTTATCAAGTCTTACTTAGATTCATGCATAACCATAACTACTACGAATAGAAGTTTTCACGATAAATGATGAGCTGGCCTACAAGCATGTGGATGATTTTTTTCCACAACATTTCTCAAGTAAGATATGGTTATCAAGCATCCATTTGGTTGATTCTTAGAGCTGAAAACTACATATAATAGTTTCCAGAAATCATGGCCAGAATGAAAGCCACGGCAGAAAAGCAAGTAGGTGACCCACAAGGACACTTGTTTCCATGGCCATGCGCCGGACCTATAATGGCGACTTATTAGTCAATGTTAGGTCAAGTGTTCACATTTCTAACATGGTCTTAACTACACTGGAAAAAAAAAATGAGGGTGATTGATTTAGAAAACGCAAGTGAATGAATATCTTAAGCCTCGTAGGATCTTCAAGTCAAGGCAACAAACACTCTTGGCATGATGTAGTGGAATCAAGACATGAATTTGGACTAAAGATGGATAACAATCATCCTCAAGCTCGTGCATTTTGGTGAAAGTGTGCCCAAATGACCAAGACTATTAACAAATCTGTTATTGTCAGGTGATGGAGGGAGTGCAGACACTATAATTATTTGCATTGCTGTTGGCATTGGCATTTTAATATTATCACTAACTGGCTTTTCCGTATGGAAGAGGAAGAGATTGCGGAGTGTATGTAATGGAACACAGCAGGAAGGTAATGTCAAATTGATTCAAGAACTCAATAAGGCAAAAAACTTGTATAAAAAGAAAGTAGTTACTGTATTATGTTCATCTATGATGAATTTGTCTTGCTATCTCTAAAATCAGGTCCTCAAGAGAGAAGCCAAGATTTATTGTTAAATGAGGTGGTTATAAATAAGAAAGACTACTCTGGTGAAAAAAGCAAAGATGAACTAGAACTGCCACTGTTTGATTTTTGTACAATAGCAGCAGCTACCGGCAATTTCTGTGACGAAAATAAACTAGGAGAAGGTGGTTTTGGTTGTGTTCACAAGGTAAATTCTTTTGTTAAGATAATGTAGGGAAAGAATTTGGAACGATTATCATTAGCTTTAATGCAGACCAAAAGCGTGACCCTGACAGAAAGTATGTAACAATGCCAGGGTAGGCTAGTAGAAGGCCAAGAAGTAGCAGTCAAGAGGCTGTCGAAGAAGTCTGGTCAGGGAACAGAAGAATTCAAGAATGAGGTCAGCTTAATTGCAAGGCTTCAACACAGAAATCTTGTTCGACTGCTTGGTTGCAGCATTGAGATGGATGAGAAGATTCTTATTTATGAGTTCATGGAAAACAGAAGCCTGGATTCTGTTCTATTCAGTTAGTCCCTTTTAACATTTGGTTCTCTTTTGCATCTCATTGATTAGATTTGAATTCAAGCTACTTATTTTGATAAAAATATTGTTACAGATAAGGCAAAAAGCTCTCTACTAAATTGGCAGAGGCGCTTCAACATCATCTGTGGGACTGCTAGAGGACTTCTGTATTTACATCAGGATTCCAGATTTAGAATTATCCACAGGGATCTCAAAGCAAGCAACATTCTGCTTGACAGGGAATGGACTCCAAAAATATCAGACTTTGGCATGGCTAGAATATTTGGTGGAGACCAAACACAAGCAAACACCAGGAGGATAGTGGGAACATAGTAAGTACTACAACTAGATTTCTTTACTGCCTTAAGGCTGCAAACCTCACTTTCCTCTTCTTATCTAACTGTCATATTGGTTACATGTAGTGGCTATATGTCTCCGGAATATGCAATGGATGGGCTATTCTCAGTGAAATCAGACGTTTTCAGCTTCGGAGTTCTAGTTTTGGAGATTGTATGTGGGGAAAAGAACAGGGGGTTTTATCACTCAAACAGTGAACTTAACCTTCTTGGGAATGTAAGTACACAAGTGCATTTCAGTGGCTTCACTTCTCATTGAAAATGAGAGACTTATTGATCGGCAAACATTGAACTTGAAATATTGCAGGTGTGGAGGCAGTGGAAAGATGGGAATGGATTGGAAGTGTTAGATAAATCAGCTGGCAGTTCATATAGCCCTAGTGAAGTTTTGAGATGTATACAAGTAGGCCTTTTATGTGTCCAAGAGCGAGCAGACGATAGACCAACAATGGCTTCTGTGGTGTTGATGTTGAGCAGTGAAACTGCATCAATGCCCCAGCCCAAAACTCCTGGATATTGCCTTGGAAAGAATCCATTTGAAACTGATTCCTCTTCAAGCAAACAAGATGAATCATTCACTGTAAACCAAGTTACAGTTACAGTGCTAGATGCTAGGTAAAAGAAACTGTATAACTCTTCTAGCATATTTGTATATTCATAGATTTTGTTATACCTCACCAGCTGTTGTGATTTACAGTTTTTGTGTATTGGTGCATCTCCTTTTGATAACAAGTGTGGGATATCCATGTTTAATTTATAGTTTATACAAGCTATAAGCAACCTTGGATAGGTTGTTTTGTCACAAGTGCACACAAAAATTGAAACACAAACATGAAGTTATGAAATGCTGTAGTTTGCTCGACATGTAAATAGGAATTCAGAAAGATTAGATCCCATTTAGCATATTTGTGTGTCTCATGAGTTTTTGAATGCTACATCAAAGGCTGCAATTCACTGTTCTTGAGTATTAACAAGTAGCCTGAGTCTGAGAATTCACGATGATTAGAATGTCAACCGATGCAAGAAATTAAAGCCCGTTTCTGATCGACATTACAGATTTAAGATTGCCGGCAGACACTCTTGGAATCTAGCTACAGGCCAGAAACATATTTGTAAGACGTCCGAAAAGGAACATGTAAAAGAAATAACTGTTTATACCAGGAAACAGAAGACAAGAATCTCAACAAGTGCATTCAGGATCTGTTTTCCATCTCTCTTTGCAGATTCTAACTTGACAGACTAATTTTCTATCCAATTTGGTAAAAACACAACGCACTCAGATGAAAAGTAATTCATCCAGAGAAAATTAGACTGTAGAGTAAATGAATACTATCAACAATGTCAATCAAAAAGGCCAAATTATGACCTATGAAGAATTATCACAGCATCAGAATCATAGCCTTGTCTACAAAATCATCCTGAAAAAATCTGAAACACAGAAGATTAGAACTTGAATAAGAAACATAGAGACTATTGAGTGCAACTTTGCAAGTAATATCAGTACCTGGAATCAGCCTTCTTAGGCGAATCAGATGCACATTCTACATGATTTTGTAGTAACAGTTCCCTCTAGAGAGAAGGATCTGATATCGTTTGCCGCAGGGACACTTGAAGTGAACGATGAAGCAATCCCCAGATTTCTCCACACAAACAGATTCTTCGTAATCTTTCACTGAATCGCTCTGCATCAAACATATTATTCACAATCTTTCATTAAATAAAATCAAAACACACTCCAATTTAACAAAAAATCATCGAACAGTCGAAAAGAATCGACAACTCAGTAATGAAACACAAGAATCATAAGTTCATTTTCGTGTCAGGACAAACGAAGAAATTAAGGGTAACAGTTTTACCTTTTCAGTTGCATCAGGAGGGTTATCTTCAGGGCCTAATTTCTCAGCTTCTTCTTCAAAATCACATGGCTCGGCAAAAACTTCATCAGTGTCGGGCATAATTTCGTCCCACCATTGATTTATTTCCTTCATGCTATCCCTCATCTTCATCAGCCACTGTTAATCACCATAAATTTCCCAAACCCTCGATTATAATTATCTTAAAGCCACAAAATCCTCTCTATATCCCAAGAATCCCAAAAAAAAATATCTAAAAGGAAAATTTCCAAGAATCACATTTCCAAGAATCTTTTTATCATCTTCTTAATTAAAAGATGCAGATTAAGACAATTACAACAGAAACTAGTCAAGAATTACTACCAACCTTGAAACTGGAACCTCCATTGGAACTTGAAGACCTTGAAAGGCTCTTGTCAGGAGAAAGGTCTGACACTGATCTTCTCAATGGTGGCTTTGGAGGCAGAGACGCACTTCCCTTCTTGGAACTACCCGGTGGCGATTGTGCTACCAAGTTGGCCACATTTGGCGGGGAAAAAGGATCAGAAAGGCAGCGGCGGAGGACAGGGTCAGTACTGCAAATGGGTTGGAGAATCTTGGAGAAACCCGATACAGAATTAGGAGCATTGTTGTTGTCGTTAGTAGTAGTGGTTTCATGGGGTTCAACAAACAGTTTCTTGGGTTTCTTTGTGAGGTGGTCTTGTGGGTTATGGTCAGGAGACCTGCGTTTGTTGTAAGAGGAAGAGGCGGAGCAGCCACAAGTAGTGCAAGGAGTACTGTGGTGGTGGTTGTTGGTAGAGGAGTCAAGGCGGAGAAGAGAGAAATCAATGGATTCATCTTCTAAGTTGTTGGCTGCGGGGATTTGGAATTCTTGAAGATTAAAGTCGCACATTTCTATGATCTTTCTGCGGCGTTTCTCTCTGATCTTTCTTTCTCTCTTGGAAGGCGAAGGAAAGAAATCAAGAATAGGAGGCGTGGCTCTAAGTGGGGGATCATATATAGATTGAGAAGGGACATTGGAATACCAACAGTAGAATGACACGTAGCGGTTTTTTGGTTAAGTGATGAGATGACAGAAAAAGATTGGTGAAGAAGGTAGTTTGTTTTCGCGCCAAGTTGGTAACTGTAAAATAGTTCAGTTATGTTAGGCGGGCCTTTATGGGATCTTTGAATTGGTATATAAGACTAGTCAATTAGAAGCATTAATTTATTTCCAATCAAATTGATGATCCTTACCGTTTAGTCGTGGATACTTACAGAATGTGACACTGATCATCTTCTCAGCACCAACAACCTCAGTGGTTCTTCTGTTGGTTTTAATTGCCTTGTACGTTTTATGGAAGAGGAAGAGACAGGGAGGTAGAAGGAGAATATGCACAAGCAGAGGAGGGAGCTTGGAAAAAAAGGTGTTCTTATAAGGGGTTGTCTAGCTTGGCAACTTTCTCACTTTTTTTTGTGCTTCATGTACTTTGATGTTGATTCCTCTTTCTGCTGCATGATCTTAGGAGGTTTTTGAATACAGTAAGGATCTCTTGCTTCCTCAATTCATTGTGTTTCGCTGCACTCTGTTTTTTCTGCATCTGTGCTGAGTTCGAGCATAGCCAGGAACAGGTTGCCCTAGATACGGACATGCCATAGTTCCTGTTTTTTCTTTGCCACTCATGCATACATGTATAGAAGTGATTCTTTCTCTGGATATTCCCATTGTAAAGAATCTGAACGTGAAACTGTTGAAAGGAAATTAGTTCAAACAGATATAGAGTTATTATGAATCCCATTTTGGGGGTTTCCTTGTACAGATGTTCAATCTTCTGTCATGTCTGCTATATATTTTGACAGTAGTGCTTGCATTGTTGGAGATATAGTCAACAGTGCTGCTTAGTTGATGGATAAATTTATTTCAAGCCGAATAATGGTTAACAGGAAATCACAATTGGTTTTCTGTTTCGGGGGAAGAGGAAAACAAGAAATTTGCGGTATGAGCTCGTCAGAAAGATGATTCTAAAACAAAGGGATAAATTCTTTGACACCGAATTGGTTTCCTGTTTGTCTAACAGTATTTTGTAAAGGCAATCACAATTTATCCATAAAAAGCACTGCTGACTATATCTCCAACAATGCAGGAACCAATGTCATCTTCCAAACTATTTTGCTTGATCTTATTAATTTAGTTAAATATCCGGTGGGGCGATGTTTTCAAAATAAAAGAGAACGATTTAATAGGAAAAACCAATGAAGCTCTTGGAGGCTTAAGATAATAAATATAAATAAATGAGGAGTATTGTAATAATTGAATAAAAAATTGATAAATATAAATAGGAAGAGAACAATATAAAAAAATAAAAAAGATGAAGAGAACTGAAATTGAAGGTTGAATTGGAGGAGAGAAAGAAAAGAGAAGAAGGAAGAGAAAAGGGAAGAGAATTATAAAAAATAAGTTGTTGAGAGAGGTTTATGCTTTAACACACACACACACATATATATATAAAAGGATTGTTATTAGTTAAGATTTTTAATTGTTATGATTAATGATTTAATTAGTTGAATTTTAAATAATTTTGTTAGAAATAATGATTTGAGATTAATTAATTGATGTGTTGGTTGTAAGAATATTGAGGGAAAAAAAAAAACCCTTGCTGGAAATCTAGACAGTATAGTCTTGAGGTTGAAAATAAAATATTTTAGTTTGGTCCCTTAATTTATGAAAATTATAGTTTAATATTTGAACTTTGAAAAATTATAGTTTGGTTCTTATAGTATAATTTGAAATTCTGAATAGAATTAAGGATGGATTATGGATAAAATTTTAGTATAGTTATGAATTTATGATATTTTTAGTTTGGTCCTCTAATTAGACAAAATTATAATTTGACCCTTAAAATCTAAGAAAATTTAAGAATGGTCCCTGGATATAATCTTAGTTTTTCATATTGGTTTGATGAATAATTGAGGGTTATTTGATAAATTATTATCAAGTTTAATTATTTGTTTTTTTAATAAAATTTCAGGAAAAACATTTAATTTTTGGATTTTTAGAAAAAATAACTAGTTTGATTGATAAACATATATGGTTATGAGTTAGACCCTTAGTTAAGTATATTAAATAGGTTGTACATTCTTTTCAAGTTATTTTGGAATATGCCTCCTTTTTTATTCAGTTAATCTTGATATTCTACATACATGGCATCAATAGGATTGCCTTAGTATCTGATTTCAAGTTCTGTTTGCTTTTAAGTCAGGTGAATGAATAATTTTTCATATATATGAGAAATAATATAAATATTTGAATTGTTAATACAAATTAGATTATGCTTCTTGATTATATATATATATATTGATTATTAACCTTATTGCGATAAAGTATGATCAATTGTTAAATCTGAATTCTTTATATAAGTCAACATATACTTTTGAATTGACAACTATTTATTTAATTGATATCATGAGTTAAACCTTGAGATATGAATATGCTTGTTTCATTATGACATGACATATGGTATGTCAATTAGAATAACTATATGAACATGGTAGTGTTAATCTTTGAGCACATTATATTTGAAACAGTAATTGATTAGGGGAGTCACCAACTTATGTAAACTGATCATCCTATAGTATGAGGCCTCATGCTTATTGCATTTTGAATTTTTGACGAGCTTTACTTTATAATATTCTTATTATAACTTATTTGAAAAACTTTTCTATAAGAACCTAAAGTTATACACACACACACACACACAAACACACACACATACACATTATTATATTATCTTGTGTTTGTATATTGAACGTTATCTACTTAGTGAGTTGTTGAATTCACCCTCTCACTATTTATCTTTTTTTGCTTATAATTTGTTAGCAGGCCACTTTTATTAGATCTTCAAAACCTACTCTTTTGATTGTGATTAATTATATGAATAGAGTAGTGTTAGTTTTTGTGCACATCTTATTT